AGGAGGAGGAGGAGGAGGAGGAGGAGGAGGAGGCAGCAGCGGGGAGGAGGAGGTACAGGAGGAGACAGAGGAGGCAGAGGAGGAGGATGAGAAAGTGAGGACGAATGATATATTGATTTCATCACAATCAACATTTTCATAGTAATTACTCTTATTATAATCATTATCGTTATAATCATATTCCCCTTCTCCATCCTCCTCCTCCTCCTCATCTTTATCACCATACATCATTGCATTTGACTATAAACATCTTTGAGATTGCAGTCATAGTTTTGACAATTTTGTGGAAGTTAAATATAAGGTACAGCGTTAAGCTTATATAGTTTCTTCAAGAACATCAATTTGTAACATAACTATGCCATTATATAACATCATCATCGTCGTCTTTGACATCATCTTCATCATCATTATCATCATCATCATCCCCAACTAACATTCCATGTGGGTGGTTGGCGTTTTGTTCTTTCTTTTCTATCAAACATCTATCGTCCTCATCTGTCCTCCTTTCTTTAATAGTATGTTACTCTCTTGTAATACCTCTAATCTCTGGCGCTTCTATGGCCTGATTGTGTTGAAAGTGCAGGAAAAACTTATTACGTGGGTGGTTGGCGGGTGCTCCGGTGTGGTTAGCTTCTTCTGTCGTATCATAACACCTATCGTCGTTATCTCACCTCCTTCTTTGTTATGTTTGTTACTCTTTTGTAACACCTCTAATCTTCTGCCGCTCATATGACCTTAAGCAGTTGCGAGCGCCGTAAAACCTCTAATAAAACAGAAATTGATTACAACACGTAGAACTAAAAAAAAGACACTCCCCTCTTTTTCAGCACTCTGACCTCTTCGAGATGCTGGAACGTCTGCAAGGTACACGCATCGACGACCAGCGATGCGACATGGCCTCGTTCTACAAGGTGAGCACACTACCTACCACGTCACTTGACGCTATCTATCGCATAATCTCTCACCCCCCTCTATCTACACCCAAGCTCGTCCCCCGTCCCAGTCTACAGGTCATTCATTCACCCTGTCTGGCATTGTTTTTGGATCGTGTTTACCTAACAATACCCACCTC